GGAGGGAGAGAGAGAGAGAGAGAGAAAGAGAGAGACAGACAGAGAACGATACAAAGAGAGAAAGAGAGACAGAGAGAGAGAGACAGAGAAAGAACAGACCATTAAGAAAAGCACATAAAACGACTTGGAATAGAAAGGAGGGTTCATGAAAATGCTTGGACGCAGCTTCCCTCCCTCCCACCTATCCCCTCCCCAACAAGCTTAGACCTCAAACAGTCACCTGTTTGGTGCACACAACTGGCATGGCGTGTGTCGCGAGTCATGTTGACGAATTCAGACACACATGCACACGGACACACACATATGCAAACAAACACACACGCTCACACACGTTAAGATACAAGGAAGCACATACAGAAGGGGTGAAGAGAAAGTGGAACAGGGAGATACAAACATAGAAGCGTGCGAATAGAAGAGAGAGGGAGAGAGAGAGAGAGAGAGAGAGAGAGAGAGAGAGAGAGAGAGAGAGAGAGAAGAGAGAGAGAGAGAGAGAGAGAGAGAGACAGACAGACAGACAGACAGACAGACAGACAGAGACAGAGACAGAGAGACAGAGAGAGACAGACAGACAGACAGACAAAGAAAGAGACAGACAGACAAACAGAGAGAGAGAGACAGACAGACAGACAGACGACGGACAGTGGAAATTGATAAGAAAAAAATTGAGAGAAAAGGAGAAAGAGGGAGGGAGAGAGGGAAGGAGGGAGAAAGAACGAGAAAGAGAGAAAGAGAGAGGGGGGAGCAGGGAGAAGAAGAGACAGACAGATATACAAGTAAGCAGTCCAAACATGTCAGACAGAGAGAAACAAGCAGACTAACAGACAGATAGACAAAGAGACCAAACAACAGAAAGACAAACAGGTAGATAGACAGACAAACAAACAGACAGACAGACAGACAGAAAACAAAGAATACACACATAGACACACATTTACACTCTCTCTCACCCACACATTTACACACACACTCACACACACACACACACACACACACACACACACACACACACACACACACACACACACACACACACACACACACACAAACAATACATGAAGTGTGTACTCACCCTGGCCCGACTGGCCCTTGTACTTGTGAGCGATTCTATCCACAGTCTCGAAGGTGATATCCTGGTTGAGTTGCTTCGCCATCTCCTCCTCCTCCTCTTTCTGCAGACTGGCCAGGAGGTCTTGGTCACTGGAGTACAGAGGGTTGTCCTTGCCCAGGTGGAAACTGTTATCGAAAATGTTGGTGTTCTCATCAAACTCATCCTCATCGACGTTCGAAGCGCCGTCCAAACGGTTCTTGATGAGGATTTTTCCGCGGAGAACGCGAAGGTCTTTAGCTATGACCTCCTCCGCCGCTTCGTCTCGGAGGTGCTCGGGTAGTTGAGGATCTGTCCGAACCTCGTAGATTCTCTCTACCCGCTCGAAATTCTGCTTCACAGTTTCTGTTTCTCCGTCCGAGCTGGCTACTTCGGTGCCTTGTCCAGAGTCTGGGGAGACGAACTCTGACGTGTGTGATCTGTGCTGTCCTCTGGACAGATTTGAGGGAGCTGATGAGTCTCTCACGAAATAAACGGTCTTCTCCGTTCTGTTGTTCTGCGTGTCTGATCTCTCGCTGGAGAATCTTTGGCTAGCGTTGAAGTTCTCGTTGCTGGGTTTGCTGTAAACGACGTATTGTCTGTTATCCTCGACAGGTTTTTCTTGGTTAATGTCTATGGTTGATCGGAACGAGCCTGGAGGGAACACAACGGGTCCCTTGTCGGGGCTCTGCTCGTTAACCGTGCTGCTATTGACCACGTACAACTTTCTGCCATCTTTCTGCTTACTTGTCTTCACCAAGCGTGGGGACAAGTTGTAGGCCCCAGTGTTCTCCATATCTGAGTCGTCACTACTCGAATTTGTTCTCTCCAACCTATCCGAGCTTCCAGACCTTCCGGTCCGCCATAGCTTCGAGCCGTCAGCGATAGATGTGTTGTTGACGCTGATGTGTGTGAGCGTGGAATCTCTGGACGCGATGTCAGAAGACCTGGTGGTGTCTGCAGACTTGACACGGTTCACCTTGTATCTGGAGCCCGTCACCTCCTCCTCCTCGTCCTCCTCTGTGTCACGTCTTGCAGTTTCTTTTACCTTCTTGTGGTCGCCTATATCCAGCTGTATGACCGTTCGGTGCGTGTTGGCAGGAGACGGCGAGCTCTGGAGCCTAGATGGCTGCACTCGCTTCGTGCGTGTGACCTTCGCTTCCTCATACGATTTCTCATGCTGTTCGTTGAACTTGGGACTCGAGTGAGCGCGCGCGCTCTTTCTGTTCAAACCGTCTTCTGACGTTCCGACTACGCGGTACCGATGTTTCTGCTCTGTGAAGCTTTGCTCTGACTCTTCATCCGATTCAAAGGATTTGTTGTTCCTTTTCGACTGTTTGACGTTGACGATTTCGTACAGCTTCCCGTCGTTTCTGATCGTTTCTTCCTGCTTCCTGTTGAAAGAGGACTGGCTCTGAACATTGGAGACTTTGTACCGGGATGATGACGATGACGGACTTTGAGACCTTGACCTTGGCTTAGGTTTGTCCCCTTCCAAGTAAACGTGAGTGACGGTTCTGTACCTCTTCCCGCCCTGCTCTTCTTCCGACGAATAATCGTCTTTCGACTCGTAATCGTCTCTCCTCAGAGACAGTTTGGCGTTTTTGAAGAACCGCTCGGGACTGTGGTGTTTTTTGCTGGTGTTTTTGACAACTCTGTACGATTTCTCCTCTCGGCTGTTCGTCTGGTGGTTTTCCGGCGTTCTGCTCCGACCGCGGCCACTTCTGCTGTCCGTGGACGTCATACGGTGCAGTCCGTCGGGGACACTGGTCGACAGAGTGCGGATTCTCCACCGGCTGTTATTAGCGCTGTCGTCGAAATTGGCGGTTGAGAAAGTCGAGCTGTCCTCATCCCTCCGGTGGTATTCGTCTTGTGAGAGATACTCGCGACTGTCATAACGCGGTGACGTCACGGGGGTGTCGGGGGATAATGAACGCGGCTGGTGACCTCTTGAACTCGTGTATACCTTGTAGGCGGGCGCGTCCACCGAGGAGGGGGACAGACTGTCGAGCGAACTGACAGACCGATAGCTCGAGCGCTGCTGCTGCTGATCCCTACTGTCAACCGGATACAGAGTTATTTCTCTTTTCTTCCCGCCCAGATTCACGTCTGCGGTCACGGTTTCTGTTTTCTTGAACACCATGTCCGAGCTACTGTCGTTATGGACGCTGTCCGCGTACTTGGAGGTTTTCTTGAGAGAACTCTTCCTCGGTGACGCCCTCACGACAAACCTACGCTTAGTTTCGTCATCCGAAGATGAGCTCACTAGTTCGGCGTTTGCTGTGACGTACTGCTCAGGCTGCTCATTGCCCTGGAAGTTGATCTGCATGTCCACTTTCTCTCCAACCACAGCACTGGTCGTGGTGGTGATGTTGATTGGTGTGGTTTGGAATGGAGCGATGCCATTGGTCGTTTGGTATGGGCTTTGGTTGACATTGACAGACAGAGGCTGGAATGACGTGGGAGATCGTTGGACCAGTGTGGAGTTGCTGAAGTCGTTGTTGTTGTTGTAGCTGTTGTTGTATGTGGTATCTATAACAGGGTTGTTGGAGTTGGTCAGGAAAACCTGCTGCTGAGGGGTGTTGTAGTTAGTGACCACCATGGAGCTGCTGTGGTTGTCCTGAGCCCCGGTGCCGGTGGTGTACGGTTCAAATCCAGGCGTTCGCCAAGTCTGAGAGTTATCCGTTTTGGTATCCACCGTATTCTGCACGCTGATGGTAGCGTTTCTCAACTGCTCTTGGGTGACCGATGAATCGTAACCTGGAGTGGTGGCGGAGGTATTGATGACCCTGTATCCGTTGTTGTAATAAGTCGGTCCCTGTGACTGTTGTAAGACCAGCGAGTTGTTGAGAGAGGGGGATGACTGGAACGAGGTGTCTCCCGCTCCCCCGAGCTGTGATGTATTCACCACCGTCACTCTTCCCGCGCCGTTGAGCGGCGAAGGGTTGCCCCCGACACCACCGTCACCACCCACAGAGCTTGTGTTATACCCGTCCACCGTGTAGTACTGGGACGAAGACGACGACGAGGCGTCACGCATGAATGATCCTGAATCGTGAACATTTGGCGTCCGGTACTGTTGCTGTTGTTGAATTTGTCGCTGCTGCTGTTGCTGTTGTTGATGATTTGTGTGGTAATTGGAATGCGTTTTGGCGTCTTGGGAATCTAAAAACGCTGAAATAACTTCGCGCGCTTTGTCGTCTTCCACAGCGCTGCTATCCACTACCAGGTCCGTACGAGTTTGAGACCCGGAGCGGTAATTATTGTAGCTAGAGGAAGCGGTTGAATCATTCAGGGTCACAAAGCCCTGGCTCTCATTTTCGCCACGCGAGCTGGTTGTTTTTACCACCCGGGTCGAAATATTTGGCTCAGAAACAACATTCACGTGGTTTTTGCTATCTGTGTCGACCTCTTGCAAAGCGTAAATATCTCCCTGTCGGTCTTGTATCAGATAGACGTCCGAGTTATTTTGCTCCAGCCCTCGGGCATTCCTCGGCTGCTCGGACACACCACCTCCACTCGACGTCTCTTCCTGTGACGTCATCTGTCTGTGGATGCTGAAAGAAGAAACTTCTCCTACAACCGCCGTCATTTTGTCCTCGCTTTTGGTGCTGTTTACACTGTCAGATCTCTCGACTCTGCGAGAGTTTTGCTCTGTCGTTTTCTTAACAGAAATTTGTCTCTTTGCTCTTGTCACAGGGCTGTCGCTGTCGGAAGAAGAAGACGAGTCATCTCTGCGTTTGTTTCTCTCAGTCTCAATACTTGTCCTTCGTCTCGAACTTCTAGAAGTTCCACTTTTGACGCTACTCGATCTCCTTGACCCCAAATCACGGTTTCCTCCCTCAAAATCGTACGAATATCCCTGTTCTGTCTTCTTATTCGTTCGTCCCGCAAATCCTTCTCTCTTTCCGTCACTCTCGCTGTCGGAATCAGCGGAAGATAAATCTTTGACCACAGTTTCGTCTTGGACTCGCTCTAACTCTCCGCTCGTCCCGCTGTCTCCCCGACCTGTGTAAGTGACAGAGACCTCTTGTTTCTCCCCGCCGGACTGAGAATCGACACTTACTTGTTTTGTCAGAGCTCTCCGGTTGTAACTGAGCAAGCCCTCTTTGTTTCCCTCGTTGTGTGACCCGTTCGCGAGGTCACTCGTCGATGATGCAGAAGACAATGGACGCTTTAGTTTGAACTCTGAGCTAACCCTCCGGCCCCTGAAGCTAGGGGGGCGATCGGGAGGAGTTGTGGCTGGGTCGCCTTTTTCGAACGCTTCTTTCAGAAAACGGAATTTATCTTTGGACCATCTGATCTCGTCTGTCGCCTCGCTTTGGAGAGATACGTTGGAGCTTTGCCGGGAGAGTTGTGTGTTACTCCGGCTTGAGGCGGACGATGTTTTTCTTCGGAGAACAACGTTTTCGGCCTCTGAGCTTTCTGGCTTTGGTTCGTCAACTACGTTTGTTGCTGCTGTTGTAGTTGTTTCTGTTGTCGTTGCGGTGAAAAACGCGGTGTTGTTGCTAGATATGAGAGGGCTCTCCACCTCCACAACACTCTCTCGTCTTGAAGACTCGGAGCTAGAAGATCTCTGAGAAGTGACAGATGATTCCTCCGCTGGCTTAGTGGTGACGAAAAAGTCTCTGTCAAAAACAGTTTGTTTACCTTTCGATGCACGTGACCGACTTGAACGGCTGCTCACACTACTGCGGGCACTGTGGCTACCACCTCCACCACTGGCAACACTCACAGTTTTCTCCGATAGGTTATCCGCACTCACTCGTGGGCTCAACTCCTCGTGCAAAACTTTGATCTCGTCTTCTAGACTAATGTTTGACGTCGTCACAGATTCCTGAATAGTTTCGTCATGAGTCTCACCGTTCAATGACGTCGCCGCGTAGTGAGTCTTCGCCTGGGTGGGGGATTCCCCAGCCTCTGAGAGGTTCAGGCCCAGATGGAAATCTTCTCTCTCACTCTCCACGGCACTGACCTCACTGACAGAGTGGTGGGGGTTGTCAAACAGAGCCTCCTCGTTCAAGTAGTCTTTTTTCACTGCCTGAAACGATGTCACTTCTTCCGTATAATTCACAAAATTATCCTTCGGAACAGCACTACTATCGTCAACAACTTCTTTGCTCACATCGTAGTTGTGACTTTCACCAAGTCGCGAAGATTTCCCCACAAATTTCGAAGAGATGTCTGTATCCAACTGGAGGTTATCGAGAATAGATAAGAAATCGGAATCCACTTGTCCCTGCTCCTGGCTGGTTTGTTCATCCGAGGAAAGATTAGCCTCCTCCTCCTCCTCCTTGCTCCTCTCAACACGAGCGAATCTGGCCAAACTCTCCCTCAACTCCTGCTGAAATTCTGCGGACACTCCTTCTCGACGGTTCGACCCCCCAGCTGCTGTACCTGCTGTAGATGTTGCAGTAACGACACGCACATCTCTATCCTGTGTGCCCCCGGCAGACCCGCTCTCCTCATCTACATCTAGTGTTGCGTGAGCAAACAGACCAGCCGAGCTACTCTCCCTTGTTTGTCTTTGTAGGTTGCCGTCAGGCCGCGTGATGACATTTGCCACGCTCTCCGCCAATCCCCGACCGTCAGAGTCCTCGTTTGAAAATAATTCCTCCTTCGCCTCCCTTCTGTTTTTCTCTCTCTCCGTGTCGTCCTCGCTGATTTCACTTTCTACCCTGTCCTCTCGTTCCGGGGGAGGCAAAGTGTCATCGTCTTCTCTCTCGGAATCACTGCTGCTGTTGCTGCTGCTGCTGTCGCTGCTGCTGTGGCGGCGTGTTTTTCTTTCCCCTTTCTCTCCTTCTGACGTTGTGTTTACTTGTTCTTCTTCTTCTCTCCCGCCTGTTGTTGTGGCTGGCAACACATGCGGTGGTAGTGGTGGGTAAACTGTCCTCTTCACCTCTTCTACTCTGGTTTTAATCTCTCCTCCACTCTCTTCTCCTACTAAAACTTTGTTTTGCTCCTTCGCAGCCGCCGTCGCAATGAAAAACTGAGAAATCCTCTCCTTTGCGTCGGAGTAAGAAACACTTCTCGTGATCTCTGGTATCCCGCCACTCTGAGCGCCGTCTGCTTCACCATCAATCACTGTGACGTCATTCTTTGATTCGGTGTCCGTGTCATTAGTCCAGACTCCTGATTTGCTCGTAGTAACGCCTGCAGAACTGGTCGAGCGCTCGGACCCCGAGTCCCAAAGATGGCGATCTCTTCTCAAAATTCCTTCGTTCCCCTCCTCCTTGTTTTTCACCGAGTCGACATCCGCGCGCGTGTCAGGGGAGGTTCCCGCGGCCCCCTGCAGTGTGACCAAACCAGTTTGTTCGCTTTCCATTGTCGCCGTGCTCCTAGCCTCATTAGACATTCCGTCAGAAACAATATCATCATTTCTATGACCCTCATCGAAGCTGTCGGCGCTCCTAACGTCGGAGGTCACATTAGAACTGCTCTTCGCCTCACTGAACCCTACAGTGGTAGCAGTTGTCAGCGAGCCCGCTGCTAACACCTCTGTTTTTATTGTCGAGAATGTCACCGTCCTCCTCGATTCTCCGATGTCTTCTTCTTCTTTCTTTCCTTCTTCTTCTTCTTCTTCTTTTATGTTGTTGTTATTCTCCTCCCGCCCCACAGAGCCCGAGGCTATATCAGCTGGGTCTTTGCCATAGCCTACTTCTTCTCTTTCTTCTTTCGTGTTTTCAGTTGAAGTAAAAATAGACCCCGACACTCCTCCGCTGAATTGTGAGGTTTCGAAAGGTGCGCGTATATTCACAGAACCGGCGGCCGGCTCGTCACGGAGAGAGGAGTCGTGTTTGCTCTGTCCATCATCGAGCTGCGTGTTTGAGTAATATGCCTCCCCGGTGTTTACACGGGACGCAGTTTCTTGGCCCTGTGTGTGCTCTGCCTCATTCAACTTGAGAGTGGCTCGCAGCGATGTCGCCTGTGTATCTGTCAGTGTGCTCGCGCGGGACGAAGTGGCAGTGCTGGAGATCGAGTCCTCATCTTCGAGCAAGAGTCTGTTTCCGATACTCACAGAAAATTTCTGATCATCAAAAGAGTCTGGCTTTTGGCCCTTTTTAAAAGAGTTTGATCGACTGCTGTTTCTGCTGTTAATTTGTTGGATAATAGCCTTGCTTGCAGTAAGGAAATCAAAACCTCCCTTTCGTTGCATTCTCATGGCACTGAAGTCTGGTAATTTATCCAAACTGGGATCAGACCTCGAGGCAGACAATCTGCGCGGCAGGGGGCGGGATTCGTCCTCATTCTTGGAGGGTCGTGGGGTCGTGCTGGAATAGGCTGGGAAATCCAAACTGGCCGGCGTCTGTGGGGTGGTCTTAGAGGTCGTAAAATCCGTAGTGGCCTCCTCAATTGTCTCGTATTGTGAAAACTCCTTACTCGATGTAGATTTTCCGACAACTGACTCATTATCTGAGATGATGTCACCACTTGGGCTAGAATTTTCTGTCGAGGCGACCTGCAGTTGGGAGACGATCTCGTCCACAGTGAGTGTCTCGGTGCTGGCTTCAGGCTGTGCCGAGTTGAAGACAGCAGTAGAAGACTTTTCTGTTTCTGTTTGTGAAAAATCCTCATCAGTAATAGATTTCTCTGAACCTTGAATTACGTCATTGCTAATGGATACTTCTCTCTCGGCTTGAGACTGGAACACGTCCTCGAAAGCTGCCGATACCTCTGGCTCAGCCTGATACTGATCTACGACATTGCTAGCAGTCGGTACTTCAGTGTTAACCTGATATTCATGGCTAGAAGTGGACACCTCAGTTTTAGCTAGAAGTTGATCTAATTCAGTGATGGCAGGGGACAATTCAGTGTCTGCCTGGTATTGGTCTAAGTCATGACCTGCACTGGTCACTTCAGTGTCAGCCTGGTTTTGGATTACGTCCTCGTTGGCTGTCGATACCTCTGTCTCAGTCTGATACTGATCTACGACATTGCTAGCAGTCGGTACTTCAGTGTTAACCTGATAACCATGGCTAGAAGTGGACACCTCAGTTTTAGCTAGAAGTTGATCTAATTCAGTGATGGCAGGGGACAATTCAGTGTCAGCCTGGTATTGGTCTAAGTCATGACCTGCACTGGTCGCTTCAGTGTCAGCCTGGGTTTGGATTACGTCCTCGTTGGCTGTCGATACCTCCGTCTCAGTCTGATACTGATCTACGACATTGCTAGCAGTGGACTCTTCAATTTTAGCCAGAAGTTGATCTAATTCAGAGATGGCAGGGGACAATTCAGTGTCAGGGGACACCTCTGTTTGGACGTGATATTCATGGCTAGCAGTGATCTCTTCAGTGTCAAGCTTATATTCCAAGTCATCGATGATGGAAGTGGACACTTCAGTTGTAGCTTGATACTCATGGCTAGCAGTGGTCATTTCAGTGTCAGGCTGATATTCAAGGCTAGAAGAGGACACCTCAGTTTTATTAACTAATTCAGAGGAAACTTCAGTTTCGGCCTGGTATTGATCTAAGTCATAGCCAGCACTGGACACTTCAGTGTCAGGATGATATTCTAGATTAGGAGTGGTCACTTCAGTTTTAGCCTGATATTCAGCAAGGTCATTGGTAGTAGCGGATACTTCAGTGTCAACCTGATACTGATCAACTTCATTGCTAGCAATAGACATTTCTGTTTTAGTTTGATATTCATGGCTAGCAGTGGACAGTTCAGTGCCGGGCTGATATTCAAGTTCAAGGGCAGTCGTGGTCACTTCAGCGTCAGTCTGATATTGATCTAAGATATTGCTGGCAGCAGACATTTCTGCAGCAACCTCGTTTTGAGACAAATCTGTGCTTGCTACTGTAGTGTCGGTTTCGGAATGAAGTTGTGAGAAGTTTTTACTACCAGCAGCCTGCTCTATCCCCAGCTCGTATTCGGCAATGTCCCTCGCCACAGATCGCTTCTTTTCTCTTGGCTTGGTTGTTTCTGTTTCACCTTCTACCAGTTTTTCTTCATACTCCATCTCCAAATTGTCTTCTTGTTTGAGGGAAGCGGAGCTCAGCGCTTCTTGTTCTTTCAGATTAGTAAAGAGAGAAGCTAACTCGTCTACCGTGCCCGGTTTGATTTGCTGCCGGACTGTCTTCACGTCTGATTTCAGTTTGGTAACTTTCAGTCCCCCCAGATTTCTTTTGCCTTGTTTTGTCCGTCGTGGCGATATTGGGAGTTCGGTGAGAGCTATCCGAGGGCTAAGGTCACTCTCCTCGCTGCTCTCACTTTTCAACATCATCGCGCCATCTTCCTCCTTTGCAACTACATCAACATCATACCCTCCGTGACCGCTCGTGTCAATTTGCAACTGGTCTTTCAACGTTTCCTCTGCCTGGTTTGACGTAAGAATCTCAGTTTCTGTGAGCTGCTTGCTACTGGCTGTTAGAGTATCACTTGGTGTACTGTTCTCAAGTAACAATTGTTCTTGAACAATTTCTTCGAGTTGGCTGTATGTTTCCATCTCAGTTTCTTCTAGGGTCTCAGCATTGTCTTGAATAATTTCTTGGGATTTTTCGTCAATCTGGGTTGAATAACTCACCTCAATCTCTTGTGTTTCTGCTTCGTTTCCAAGAGCTTCAGAGTCAGTGGTGCTGACAGTGAGCAACTGTTCTGTAACATTTTCGTGAACTTGGAAGGAGGTTGTAATCTCATTATCCTCATGTACTGCGCTGACGCTGTCAGGAATTACGGTGTTGACGTCTGAAGTGTCTACATTCACAGTGTATTCAGTAGAAGACACGCCATTGCTGCTCGCGACAATGTGTGATTGTTCTTGAACAGCATCCACACCTTGGTCAGATGTGGACAACTCAGCGCCAACCTGCTGTGTTGAAACACTGGCAGAGGACAAGAGTTTTTCTACGACACCCTCAGCTTCTATCTTGCCGCTGTCTTCCTGGGTGTCATTAACTATAGTAGAAGTGTCAACTGTTATTTGTCCTTCAGCACTGTGGGGAAGTTGGTGCGTGTTTCTGAGCTCGGTTTGTTCTTCACGGCTTTCGTCGGAGTGCAAGGAACGATCCTCGCCATTTTCTACTCGCACCAGGCTGCTTTCTGTGTAACTTGCAATGTCAGGGGTTGCGTCCATCTGTTCTTGGTTATTTTCTTCAAAATAAGACACACTTTTAACCTCAATTCCAGTTTGCGGTGCAGAAACACCGTCAGGGTGTAAGGTCTTGTTTTCGTTGCTGGTGTTCATTGCAATAATGTCAGTGAGTTCATCTGTTGTGACTTCACGGTAAACAGAAAGTTCGTGGTGGTCAGAAGCAGAGGAAAACGACCGGTGTTTGAAAATGTCGGTATCCCTGGTGTCGTTGAGAGAAGACATGGACAGAGACTGGTCTCGGAGCGCGCTGTCGAAGAACCCTAACACCTCGCTTTGCGTCATAGAAGGTTTACGGTTCGGATTCTCATCTGGCGGAGCAAGGAGATGAGGGGAGGGCGATACCTCTAGCTCACTGTGGAATGAATCCGAGTGGGAGTGGTGCTCTCTGAGTGTGCTGTCAAAGTTCTCTAACACGTCAGAGGGAGATATTGAAGACTTGTCGTCCTGATCCTCTTTCTCAGGAACTTTAGGAGTAATTAAGAACGATGTATCTCGCCACTCGCCAAGAGGTGGCTCTGAGCGGGTGCGGGAGGGGGTGGGGGAAGGAGGCATTTCAGACTGGGAAGATTTTGAAGCCGAAGACGAGGAGGAGGACGATGATGACGATAATGATTCGTTCAGAGCGGGTGGTGGAGGGGGTAACGGTGGTTCTTCTGTGTCTTGTTGGGAAGTTGACAAATCTTCGTCAAGTTGCGTAGTTGTGGTTGTGGTTGTGGTGGTAGTGGTGGTGGTGGTGATGGCGGTGGCAGTAACTTGCTGGTCTATTTCTTCTTCCAGAAACTCAGGTGGCGGGGGCAAGGCAGGAAAGGTGAACTCTGTCTCTTCGTCATCCTTGATATCCATAGGAGATGGAGACTGGGGAGGTGGGAGAGGGGAGGAGGGAGGAAGGGAGGGGGCTTTTTGAGAACTTTTCCTTACTGAGGACAGGGAAGAGGTGGAAGAAGACAGAGAGGATTGCCTCTCAAGGAATGTCTTTGGAGGAGGAATCAGGGGAGGGGTAGCGGTTATTGACGTAGTCCGGCGAGGTGAGGATATTGTGGAAGAAGGAGATTTTAAGTCGTCTTCGTCTATGTTGTCCGGTCGTGGGAAGATCGAAGTGACGCTGGTCCGGGTGGCCGAGCCTGGCCGGGAGAGAGTGGACGACAGACTCGGACTCCGCGGGGGAGACGACGACCTTGACCTTGCCACATTGGTCTTGCTGGCCGAGGCGTTGTCGAGGCTCTCCGTGCTGTTCGTGGTAGAGTTTATTTTCAGATTCCCGTTGAGCACTTCAAAGTCCGGATTGGACAACGACGTGACCGTCTCAGAGTTGGATCGGCCGAGGCCGTTCCCTTGTGGGCTGCTCCAGTTTAGATTGGTGCGTGTGTAGTTGCTGGACGCCAGGATCTGGCTCTGGGGGCGTCGCCGAGACAAAGCCCCGCCCCCTTTGGAGGAGAAGATCATCCGCGGCTTCCGGCCGTCATCTAGGGAGGAGATGATGTCGGAGGGCAGGTTTTTCCCGCCTTTACTCCGCATCTCCAGCAGAACCTGGTGTTTCAGGTCTGTCGGCTGCTGCATTGTGGGAGTGGGAGTCTTTTCTGGACAACAAAGAGGAAAAAATCAATGTTTCTGTAAAAACAAGCAATCTAAGTCCTTCGTAGCCCTAGTGAATGTAAATTCTAAATTATCACCCCCACCCCCTTTCCCCGTCCCAACCCACTTCCGAGAACAAAGCAAAACAAAATTATTCAACAGAAGGTCAAAGACAAAAACGAAAACAGACTTTCATGAAACTCGTTTAAAAGATCTCATTATGTAAGCAATTAAGTGGACAAAAACTGATTGTTTGTTCAATTTAAGAAACTTCAAAGGTCTTGATCTGATATCTAACAGGGAAGTGCCAAAAAAAAGTAATTCTACGTTTAAAGCACGATGTCACATCAAACATTCTGAATGCTGAACGTAGTGTGCTGTACCATTGGCACAACAAGATCTAAAAGGGACCCCATATAAAAATCGGATCTTTTTTTTAGTGACGTGACACCCAACATACGAATAACATTGCAAAGGGGAGGCCTCATGAATGAATTCAGACTGCAGAGACACAATATTCTGTCTTCGACAGCCACATGTCATACAGAGCACTGTGTCTGAACCGGCGTCTGTGGTGTAGTAGTTATATGCTTGACCATCTCACACAGAAGATGTGAGTTCAATCCCCGTGGGGGGGGAGGGGGGAGGGGGGTTCTTTTAACGAGTATCTCCGTCTTTCTGCTGAGACGTTGGATACTTCTCAGTCCAGGTTGGCCCTGACTGCATAGTCGAAATAGCCCAAATAATGTCGACGGAGGTGTTAAATTACTACAACGTTTTTCCAGTATATGAATTATTTGTCAGGTTTTGTAGCATTTTCACATACTCAAATCTCACTCTTCGCCAAAGCGTTATTACATAATAACCCTGCTTCACATCGTGCTGCTAAGATCTGATGTAGAGGGGACTATGTCATAACTTGACTCCATAATCAGAATGAAAAACATTACTACAGCAATATGATAGAAGTGATTATGTCCTAACTCCATTTTAGAATGAACAACATAATAATAGCAAAGTGACAACTGATTAAACTTACAAAAAGACACATCGGTAATTGCGACTATGGCAAATTTTAATGGCACATCGTTTGAAGGTCTAAATTTTGCTATATTTTTAGGTGTTTTGGCCATATAGACACTGTCATTATTTTCTATAACAAGGATATGTGAATACTGTGCACGTGTGCCATCAGAAATGTAAAAAACACCCAAAACAACAACAAACTAAAAAAAAAAAAAACACCAAAAAACCCACCACCACCACCAAAAACAACAATTTATAGAACACTGCAGCAGAAAACGTAACCCAAGAGTAAGTACCATATAATCATTCTGTGAACATTAAGAGTCGGTGGTTGGCAAGTGCTCTGGTGTGTTTTGCTCCTTATTTCTTGTCAAACATCCATCGCCCTGAACTCTCCTCCTTTTTTATGTTTGTTACTTTCTCGTTACACCTCTTATCTTCGGCTCTTATGTGACCTAATTGTGTTGCAAGTGCCATAAAACGCTTCTCTAGTCTTCAGCTCTTATATGGCCAAATTGTGTTGCAAGTGCCATAAAAACATAAAACGCTTACTAAAGCAATACGACTGTTAAGAAATTCCGCAAACACTTAAACAGAAGGGAACACTCACCAATGAGAGACAGGTCCTCAGTCAAACTTTCTATCCATGATGTTTAGAGTTTTGGTTAATTTTTCCACTCTGTTTTCAGTCTCAAAAGCATGGTGGCGTCTTCCTGAAATGAAGGAATTTTAGTTTGAGTAAAGAAAAGCACATGCACATGGCGACGGCCATTTAGTAAAGGGGAATAACGCGAGATGAACTTGTTTGGTTTGTTTGTTTGTTTGTTTGAGTAAAGAGAAGCACATGGACACAATAATGGTCACTTAGTAAGACAGATTAACATAACACTTATCATTTTCGTTTAAACTACCGTTAGTCTCTACATTTCATCATAATGAATCATTAAGAGTACTTCCAGCCAATGTTCCTATGAAATAGAATTAGTATTAACGATATTAAAGTTCTAAAAATCATCATCATCATCATCATCATCATCATCATCATCATCATCATCATCATCATCATCATCATCGTCGTCGTCGTCGTCGAGGTTAGTTTTCCTTCTTTTTTATATAAAAAAGAAAAAGTCACATCGCTCTATTGACAACAGCATAGGGAAATAGAATAGTTATCTTCCAACGCCTTTGATATAGCGGTGAGGCCCCTCGCCATAGCACGCAGAAAACATGAATTCGATTCCTGTGTGGGTAGAATTTTTATCGAATATCTCGGTCTTTCTGATAGAGCATCATATCTCTCCTAAATTATATAGACTGATATAGATTGTGTCCATGGGGCGTAAACACACACAAACAACATGTAGGATATCCAATAGTGTTGGTTGGAAATACTTCGTAGCAAGATTAAATTTCCACACTTTCATCGAGATACTGCGACACACAGCAAAATGTTTCTTATTCATAATTTTAAAAAAAATTAAATAGCAATGCTCATGAACTTCAAACTATAATGTTAAAACGAGTTATTTTCAGCTCTCTAACGATCATATTGATTAAATCTTTATAAGAACACGAATCGATACGCTTAGTTGCATTCACAAGCCTTGATGCATCGTCTTTTTTTTCTTTTTTTTTAAATCGCTATTAATGCCGGCATATTTCATATCTCATTAAATATCACCATGTTCAACAGCAGCTAAGAGAGTTGCATATCCCAAGCAAGGAGCTACTTAACATAATGCGTATACAAATTCCAGTTTTGTGGGGATTGGAACGGCAGAGGACACTATGGACAGCGTTGAATAGGCCTGGATTATATTAAAAGTTAATCATATATCTTATAGAGAATTCCTGCAAGTTGTATAGGTGAATGCACAAACTGAGAATATATGCACACACCTGTACATACACACATACGCACACATACACATACGCACGCACACACA